TGTGTGTGTGAGAGTGTGTGTGTGTGTGTGTGTGTGTGTGTGAGAGTGTGTGTGTGTGTGTGTGTGTGTGTGTGAGAGTGTGTGTGTGTGTGTGTGTGTGTTTGTGTGTGTGAGAGAGTGTGTGTGTGTGTGTGTGTGTGTGTGTGTGTGTGCTGATGGAGCAGAGGTCAGAGGTCAGACTGACCAGCACTCCTTTGACCCAGCCGAACTTCACCGAGCCGCTCTTGGAATCGGACATGTCTTTGTCTGTGATGATCTCTGCAGCCGTGAGCTCCTCGCCGTACGGAAATCCCTCCTCAAACGACTCCTACACAACTCAAGAGTCAGGAGATGTCACGTGTGAGCATTTAATATGACTTATTATTATTTAACATGCAGAAGAGCGAGAGCAATATCTCAGGTTTGCGTTATAGTAGCTTTATTTTTCAGAACACGCTTTTATCTAAACGAGACTTACAAATGAGGAAAAACACACAATGTTTATCATAATATCACGATATGAGCATCACGAAAACAACACATTTCAACGGAGACACAGCTAGAGACGTGAAAATGCACGCGAGTAGAGAAGTATATATCTTTCCTTTTTCATAGAGAGGGCCTTTATGGACTAGTTTAAATGCAGCGTTATTTTAGTATCATCGAGACACTATTATAGCTTTTATTTTTATATTTTCCATTTAATTTTAGTCAAAGTTTTAGTAGTTTTTGTATACACACATATCTACAATAATCCTGCCAGAATGAAGCAACGTCAGCTTCATTTGAGTTATTTTCATTATTATGCTTTTTTGTGTCCATCCATTTAAATCGTCACAATCATTTTCAGAGTTTCGACTCTTTTGTTCTGTGGCTGAGAAAAAAACACATGCAAATAGAAAAAGCACCAGCAAAAATGTTAAACTATGCTTGGTGTAGCAAATACATGGTTAATTTGTGCATGGTTACTATTATTTAATTAACTATAGTAACCAGTTACCATTTATTTTCACACAATAAATGTATTTTTTAATTAATTAATTAAGGCTATGGTTAATTTTTGTAATGGAAGTTGTAAAAATGTGTTAGCCAGCTTACATAACCTTTCACAGTTATAGTAATTGTGTATTTCATCAGCTTATTTGTTTACATTACAAACCTTCAGAATATCGAGAGGAATAAAACGGTGAAATCTACAGCTGCAACTAGACAAAGTGCAATAAAATAAACACTTAAATGTTATTTTGGATGTTTTCTTTCTACTAGACTGAAAGAAGAGACATGATATGGAAGCAAAATAACCCACGTTGACCAGTGCATGAACACACACTGGTTGTGTTTGTAGTGTTTGGCCTTGACTCTGAGTTGCGCTGTTTTACTGTGTGAGTCCTGATTAACAGACGTGCTTTGACAGAGTTTGTCAGACTCGGACTGAAGTGTGTAACCTGTGTCCGGTGATGTTCGGGGGACACTGGGTCTTTGACAGAGACGCTCATGGTGGGTGTGTCAGAGAGACTATTGTCTGAGGACAAGCGTGTGTGTGTGTGTGTGTG